CACATGACTCAGTGCAGCAGGTAATTTTCAGATGGAGAATGAATGATGCCATCTTATCAAGCAAAGCATTTGAAACTTGAGAGGGTAAAGCACTCAACAGCAAATGGTAGTGAATAATTGTGCACTTGCAGGAAGTTGAACTAACCTGGCCTAAGAGTTAATTTCCACGTTTACACTCCCTGATTCTATGACTGTCCCAACACACAGTTGCACTTGTGGATTTGCTCTATTACTAGGTTCCTACATATAGTGATATTTTCAAAGGAATGCATATCACATATGCTTCAGTACTAGTCCAAAGTCTAATTGTAGAGTAAAAGCAAAGTGACTGAATACACTGACTATTTAAAGTACTCAGAGACAAGCAGATGTGTGATCTGCTTTCAGACAAAAAACACTTCTTCTTCAGCAGACATGGCTTTTTAGTGATGTGATCCTCTGTGTATTTTGAATATTTAAAGGAAAATGTGATTAAGTTATTTATTTGCTTATTCATGTCTACCGCCTTTCTCTTCTCACATTTTCTGTAGGTTAACATCTTTATTCATTCTCGTGTAATACACTGGAACTTGCCAAGTTGCAGTATAAATCCATTCATAGCGAAAAAGGAAGCTTTTAATGCTGAAGGGCATTGTAATGCTCCAAGCCCCTGGTGTTAAAAGTAACAGGGTAAAAAGTAAAAAAGACTGCAAGTAATATGTAAGCTAAGAAATACAGAGATATAATTTTCCTTTTACTGAAAAAAAAAAGTAAGATTATCAGTTCAGTGGTCTCCGTGTGTGTGTATTTACATGTACCTACTTTACTAAAGTTTCCCATTTTTATACCACCCAGGCAAGTTCCCTTTTATGAATGTCTACCTTGGTTTTTACAATAACTGTTCCCACACTCTTCCAAGGAGAAAGAAGAGGTGAAAGGTTTTTCAAAGTTTTCCTGTCCTTCTCACTTCCCCTAGGGGTGATTGGAGAGCTGAGGAAGGAGCAAAGCGTATTGAGAAGAAAGCTCCTGTTTTCACTGTAATAAAAGGTGGCAATCTTATCATGTATAGATGCTCAAATGATGTATAGACAAAGGCCGTTTGCAGTGAAGATTGCCATAGGCAAAACAGCAGATCTAATCAAAAGCTCTACACGCATGGATGTAGCCAGCCAGCGGGAAAGGAAAGCACTCGCAGCACAGAATCTGGAATTGCTCTTCTCTCTCTCTATGGCCTCTCCATCAGAGCACAGGAGAATCCAGGAGCCTTGGTACTTTGTTTTTTCATGGAAGCACATGCTGCTAGCTTCCTTCTATCTACAAAGTCAGTAGAATGAGGTGGTGTTTGTATGGTAAGTGCTGTAAAAATAGTTCCACTGTACAAAATAAATGACAGCTTAAACATACATGTAAAAATACATGACTAACCCTTAGAATACTCACATTTTTAAAACTGTCAGACAGATGAATGTATACATATTCTCAAATTCTCAAAGACTACTGAAAGTCAGGGCACAAAGCAGTAAAACACTCTAAGCTAAAGCTACTGCAGAGTTCCTCCTTCACCCCACTGAGAGTAACTGTGCTAAACTAGGTGTCCCAGAATAGTCAGAGGTATTACACAATCTGTGTACTCCATGATCCGAGAACAATGACTTAGAACAATGAAGCACAGTGAAATGTGTTAAGGTACCATGGCAGACACACCTTGGCACTTTTCCTGTAATTTTTGTTAATAAGCCTGGAGCAGGAGGGTGTTTTTATCTAGCAACACAGGTATTTTAAACTGTATCCTTTCTGGAACTGTAAAAAACCAGACAGTCTGTAAGTCAACACATGGGGATTTCTGTTTGGTAGTTGCTTGGGTTTCTTTCCTGTATGCCTCTGTCTCATGCCCTTGAGGGCCTTGTCTATTCAGACTGTAAATTCCTCAGGTGGCAGGACACATTACCACAGTTTACAGTGCCAAGCACAGAGGGATCCAGTTTTTACTGGGCCATGTGAACTGCCATAGAGCAATGAGCAAATAATAATAATAATAATAATAACAACAACAACTTACCACTCATCACTGTTGCAGAACCCTGCAGAAAACAAGGGCCAGAGACTCCAAGGGGACAAGCTGGCAGGGGGAAACCTGCACTGTGCTCTTTAACCTGACAAGTGATAGTATTTGATTCAGACACCTCTCCTCCTCCCAGTGCCCTCATTTTTCAGATGTAGCATAAAACGCATTCCTGGGCACAGAAATCACAAATAATCCACCAGATCTACCTCAGCTCAACACGGCAATAACTCTCACTCCTCCAGCCCTTCCAGGTCCTCCAGGTGTCAGCATGAAGAGCTGTGCTGTCTGCCCAGCACAAGACAGGCAACAGGATGTTTCATGGTCTACGCTGCCGTTCGAGCCAGACACATGAGCTGAAACTCTGTCTCTCCACATGAAACTTGGATATCTGGCAAGTCTCAGTGAGACACATTTTCCTCTTGGCCTCCTCTCCTTATTTCTAGGCCCAGCGTTCATATTCAAGGGAGCAGAAGTAGGCGGAGGGGAGTAGAGGGGGGGCACACCAAACAAAGAGTTTTAGCCTGCAGAGGCCCAAGGAAACTGGAGAGAAAAGAGGATATATTCTCAGAAAATGTAAAAACTGAGAAAATTTGCTTGTCTGCAGCATAAAAACAGATTTGGAAGGGGTGACGGAGGCTGACTAGCACTCAGTATCACATCATCAGAGGCGGGGAAGAGACATCAGGCAGGGGGCTGGGAAGCAGCAACCAGCTGCCCCATATGGTCAGCTCTTGGTAGGCAATTTGATTTTCATTTTCTCCACTGATTGTGTTCATCCCTGTGGTATCTGAATGGAAAAACAATGGTGGAGATAATAAAACAGGATTGCCCAGGGCATTTTTAAGGGCTTGAGAGCCATTCATTCATAGATCAAATCTAGGCCAGGACGGAAGCAGGTAATCTGCTGAAAGTTGGCTTATATGAAAAGTTCCAGTGATATTTCACAAGTGTCCACATAAAAATTGAATAATTCACAACTTTCTTAGCATTCTCAGCAGATAGCTCAGCCTCTGCAGCCTCTCAGGTCTCCACAGACTCTTAGTACTAATGACTTAACTCTACAAATAAATTTAAGAATACAAGTCTATGCAGGTTCTGAGTGTAATTGTGGTCTATCCCAAAAATGGTTTGAGGCAGTGACGAGTAAGGTAAGGTGTGGGAAAGAACCCGTGACTGTACCTGTTCTGACAACAAAAGAAGCCCTTCATTCTCCTAGGCTATTAATCTGGTACCTTCCATGAGCACAAACCTAGAAGAGCTAATTTAGATACTTGACCTTCCATTGTCTTCCATGTGTTTGCAGGATAATAAGACACAATGGCACATATTATATTCCATATTCTACTGCACTTTATTTTACAGAAAATTATTTATTATTGTTGTCACCATAATTTTAAAATAAATGAATTATATCCAACAGGAGAATAAGTTCTCAGATTATTATACAATGGTTATCCTCAAGTTGTCATGTTGTCTAACACTGCCTTTCCACCAGTTTTCTTCAAAGATCACTGAAATAAGGATTGACTAAGATAGTCATATATATCATAGAATCATAGAATCATAGAATAGATTGGGTTGGAAAAGACCTCCAAGATCATCAAGTCCAACCCCTGATCCAACTCTAATTACTATATCATGGCACTAAGGGCCATGTCCAATCTCTTTTCAAAAACTTCCAGGGATGGTGAATCCACCACCTCTCTGGGCAGGCCGTTCCAATGCCTGATCACTCTCTCTGTAAAGAATTTCTTCCTAACATCTAACCTAAACTTCCCCTGGCAGAACTTGAGCCCATGTCCCCTTGTCCTGTTGTTGGTTGCCTGGGAGAAGAGACCAACCCCCACCTGGCTATAACTTCCCTTCAGGTAGTTGAAGAGAGTGATGAGGTCACCTCTAAGCCTTCTCTTCTCTAGACTAAACAACCCCAGCTCCCTCAGCCTCTCCTCATAGGACTTGTGCTCAAGTCCCCTCACCAGCCTGGTTGCTCTTCTCTGGACATGTATATATATATACACATGGCTGAACACTTAGACAAAAATCAAATTTCATCCACTAATTCAGAGCTGGCACACCTTTTTGGTGTCTCCTGACGGTGCAGAAGAAAGGACATTATAAAAACTCATTGATACTACCTGCATATCTGTCAATGCCAAACTTGGTCCTGGTACCTATGCACCATCATTCCTCTAAAGAAAAAAAAAGATCTTAAAATGACCAGATCTCACAGTGGAGTAAATAAATGTTTAATTCAGTTGGAGGCAAATTATGATGAGTATTTGCCAGAGCACCCAAAAATGTGCCCCAAAACATTGGGCAAAAACTATAAAGATAGAAAAAGTGTTTCCTATTTCTTATTCAGAATGGAAATCATCACTGCTACTACAATTCAGCTACTGATAAGGATGTTAAAACACCACATGGTGAGAGAACACAGCCTACGTTTACCTGGGAGTCAGGAAACCTCTTCGGCCTTACATCAGTGAGGTCTTTTCTCCCACTCTGTCTCCCCATTTGAAAAGTTGCCTGTTAAGGAGTATCTGTGTGAATTCATGCTCTCCATGGGACTTTTACACAGCACTGTAATGTGATTAACAGCAACAATTTTGAATTGTACTGAAGTCTTTTAACAGCAGCTAGGGAGAGCCACGTCAGAAGGCAAAACCAGAAGAAGTGATAACACAACAAGAAACTTGAACTGATCAGAAGGTTTTCCACTTGGATAAAAACGTGACCACCATGGCTCAGCAATGCCCTCTTTCTATGATGACAGACAGCATATACTCATGCCAGGAATGCTCAGCCTTCCGCCCACAGCTCTTCTCCCTGTTCTTCAACTGCAATCCCCATTTTTGTGTGTGCACGTGTGCACGAACACATGAATGGAACAGAGGCCCGATTTTATTGCAATGTGCAGGGCGGGTGATTCAAGTCTTTGTGTAGGAAGTTGACTCACCTCCTTCCGAGTGAAAAAACCTTCAACACAATTGTAATTCCCTCTTTTTCACGTTGAAAGTCAGGCAACATACACAGAACCTTCCAGCTCGGTTTTTCCTAAACAGTGAAAACGTGCCTAGAAAGTTTAGATATAAAACCCTGTGACTTCAACAAAACAGGTTTACCCCTTCATGTCGGGTATCACGAATCCCTGTGGCTCAGCAGCAGGCAGGAAAGGGAGGATAGAGAGGGGAGGGGAGAAAACACAAGTTGGCTTGGGGGGAGGGAGACGAATGTTTTAGGCTTATTTCATAATGCACTAGTAAACAGCTCAGGCAGAGAAATGCAGTGCAGTAAGAACTGGAGTTATCCTTTGGAGCCTACTGCTTTAAATTTGCGCGCTGTAGCTTGAAGCATTGCACAAACTCTCGGTCTGCTGACTGCCTCCCTGGAACACAAACACACGGGTGATTGGGAAAGCTGTTTTCCAGCCTACCCTCCCTCGTTACTGCCGGGCTGCTTTTGGTGTTTATTTATTTTTAAACAAGTCGTGTTCATGAGGAAAAAAAATAGAAAAAAGAAAAAAAGAAAAAAGCCAACAAAACCCACACAGCATCTTTAATCAACACCTATTTCCTTCCAGGACCCTATGATCCTCTATTGATTCCTATTAAAATGCTTTTCTTTTTCTTTGCCCCCTCTGCTGATCGAATTTCAGATCAGCCAGGATGTGCAACTAACCTTCCGGCACAACTGAACCCAACTGACTCACCCAGATCAAAGGCTCGGCGCATTCATTAGAGCCCAGCACAGCCCAGGCAGGATCCGTAATGCAACATCTCCCTTTGCATTGCAATTAACGTGGGGGAGAGGAGTTCTTATTATTTTTATTTTTTGCAAATGTTCTGGCTTTTGATTTTCAAGGCGAGAGGGGGGTGGGGGGCGGGGGAGGCTGGCGGAGGGGGAGAAGTGGTGGGAGGGAATGAGAACAAAAGAGAGATCTTTTTACCCGAGGATGACGTCAGTTTGATGTTACTGACAACTATTGATGCACGTGGAGCAACTGCGGGCAGATCCCCCTTCCCACCCCCCCGCCTCCCGGCACTTCTCAGGGAAACAATATGCGGGAATAGCCAGCGGGACCCGGGACGGGCTCCGGGTCGCCCCGCCAAGAGCCCGAGCGCCCGCGCCCCGCGGCCGCCAGCAGCGGCGGGAGGGGAGGAACAGCCCCGGGCACGGCGCGGCGAGCCGGCTCCAACCCGGAATGCTGCTCGCTCCCGCGGCGGACGCGGGCCGCGGACACAGTCCTCGCTCCCGGCCCCCGCTGGGAGCTCCCTGCCCCCTCCGGAGCCCGGCCCGGCGCAGGCACCGCCGCGCCCCGGCCGCGATGGCTCTGCCGCGGGGAGCGCCGCTCCGCCGGCCCGGCACGGCCGACCGCGAAACCCGGCCTGGATCGCCCCGGAGCGGCGGGGCGGGGGGGCCGCACCTCCAGCTGCCTCGGTGGCGTCAGGGGAAGGCGTGGGTTTCAGCGGAGAACGCTCCTCCGTGGGTTTTAGGGCCTCCCACCGCCGGCTGCAGCTTCGGAAAACAGCGGCTGGGTCGGGGCTGAGGATTCTCCCGCCGAGCCCCTCACGGGGCTCCCGCGCCCCCGCCCCGCAGCTTCACCCCTCTTCAACATCTCTAAATTAGAAGCGCTTTGTCGGTTTGGAATGAATCGCCAAGAAGGTGTAAAAAGGAACAGAAATATAATTTTATGCTACATAAGGGATCACAGAATGGCTCAGGTTGGAAGGAACCCCAGCGGGTCGTATGGTCCAACCTCCCTGCTCAGACAGAGTCATCCCAGAGCACATGGCACAGGATTGTGTCCAGACGTTCTTGAATATCTCCACAGATGTTCACATATCTCCTCTCTCAGTGAGGGAGACTCCACAACCTCTCTGGGCAATCTGTTCAAGTGTGTGGTCACTCGCACCGAAAGAAGTTCTTCCTCATGCTCTGGTGGAACTTCCCATTCATCAGGTTTCTGCCCATTGTCTCTTGTACCAGTGGTTGGCAGTACCAAGAAGAGCCTGGCTCCATTTTCTTGGCCCCCTGCCTACAGATGTATACACACATTAACGAGGTCCCCTTTCAGTGTCCTTTCTTAAGCCAAACAGGCTGGCCCTGGGCAGGGCCCATGCTGCTTCGGGGGTGCTGAGTACTGAGACCCACGGTACCCCTTGGCCCCCACTTCTGATAATTCACAGACCTTCACTCAGGAGCAGGGGCTGAGGCAGTGCCTGCGCTTTGAAGCCTTGAGCTCCTTTCTGGAAGTGCACACAAGTGTTCCTCTAAGTGCCATGAAACTCGCCCGAGCCTGCTCAGGCTGGGATCCTACACGAGCTGGCCTGTTGGTTCAGCAGAGCTGAGACTGATGTATGTTCTGCCAACATGATTTCAGGTGAGCCAGACCAAAGCTCTCCATCGATAGCTATCGCTTGCTGTTACTTCTTTGGGGGTTTCAATGAAATGGGAGATGTTTTTTTTGTGTGGAGCCATATTCTCCCCTATGCAATGTTTATTTCCTTATATATTAAATTTCATCCACTAATTTACAAGTACCCATCTTACTTGGAGTTCTACCCATTTTTGACATTGATCATGTGGCTCTTTTTGAACAAGGTGTAACTGTGATTTATGCTGGTGCACAATTTTTACTTGTTTCCTAAATGACCTTTCCATAATACAGTGTTGTCAGCTCTCATGATTGTTCTGTAATACTGATGTTCTGTGGTAGAAATTCTGTAAAGCTCCAGTTCCATAAGTCAAGTAAGAATTTTGGCTTTCACCTAAAAGGAAAAAAGTCTGTTTCTGGTTCTCTTATTTACAGTAGAAACTTATGTTGTGTGCTGTAGCCGCTCTGGAACCAAAAGGAAAAGAGACATAAATGTATTATTATGACCATCATTGGTATTATTTTATTTTAGCTCTCTCGATACTTGTGTCCCTGATTCTTTATAGCCTGGCAATACTTAATATGAGACAGGGATAAAAAGACTCATGCAGCTTACACATGCACTTGTTTCTCTGCTCAGATCTCTCTAATATATTTTAAGGTGAGACAAATAGGCATTATTACTTACCGCTTACACTGTTTACACTTACACAGAGTCATGGTGGTTTTCTCTGCAAAATCAAGGTGTGTATTTATTCTTGTGTTGCTTCGAGGGAGTGTAGTTTTGGTAGCTAAGTATATATTTCTGTCTGGATGATCTCTGTAAAAATAAGTAATTTATGTTTTTTTCAGGTTAGTATCTTACTTGAAGGCTGTGTGTTGTACTAGGAGAGAGGCCATTTTCTCTAGCTGTTTGTACCATGCTGTAGCTTTTCACAGTTTTCTGTGGGAGAGATCTTCAGGAGTATTTAAACCCTTTTTTTCTCAGATATCTTCATACAATGTCTACCAGGTGGAAGAGATTATTGTTCAAAAAGGTTTTTGTAATTGTAAACAGAGGTTTACTTTGATTTTTTTTTTAGTTCTCCATCATCAACAGTTCTCCATCATACAACTCTTGTATAGTTCCACACCTATTAAGAAAATTTTCCTATCCTACTTTTTTACCATGACAGCATTCATCTGTCTCTTAACAGTTTTGATTCTTGACCTTATCATGGTCAGGCTAACAACACCCCACCTACACACACACTCCTACAAGTACTCTTCACCTTTCAGAAGATATTTGCAACATGGTTTGAGAGGAGAGGTCATCCTTTCTCTAGGGGCTGCATTGCTAACCTCACAGTTTGGGGCACCCATGCACTGACCTCCCAAATCTCTCTGCAGTTATATTCCTGTTTCCCACTCCTCGTGCCCCTCGGTCCCCTTACGTGCCCCTGGATTACAACATCCATCTCATCGAGGGCTCCAAGTTCTGTGGCAGAACCAGAGGAAGGGGTAGGTTCGCTCCATTGCAACCATGGCAACACTTTTCAAAGATGCAGCCTACAGTCCTTGTGAATCTTCCAGTTTTCCATGGCAGCCTTGTTTCTCGGAGGCTCCATCTTCCCCAGGAATAAGCATGTTGCAAAACATGTAAGTCAATAATCAATAAAATACTTCCTTAGCATGGACAAAATCATCTGAGCTTTAAACAAGAGTGGAGGACTACATATAATGCTATGAACTTAATTTAAGAATTGAGCAAAAGGGAGAGGCAAAGAGCGTTCATTTTAGCTTCTGTTTCAGACAGGCCCTTTCCTGTTAAATCAGCTAACTTTTTACAAAGCCAAAATCTCAGTTGTGTTCTCACTTGTTAAAGCTCTTTGGTCTTTATGCTGTCTGTTTCCTGAAGATATGTGATTCTTAGGAGGCCTCACCTTTGGACACCTGGGGACCTAGGGAGTTCAGAGGCAAACATTTTGATTTGCTGTCCTGCAGTACCAAGCCAAATTCTCAAATTTAGGGAGCTCCTGAATTTTGAGAGTGTTCAGGTGTGACTTGAAAGTTGTCTTTGTATGCTTTAATGGGGCTTATTATGTCATGCATTCATAGATGAACTATCAAGAGTTTGAAATATTATTTTGTGGGATAAAGAGAGGCAGAAGGAAAACTTTCTATGGAACCTTATAGCCTACGGTATTAATAGAACAGATCCCAGTGCCTTCAGGGGCAGTGGATGTGGGCACTGATGTCTGCAGTCAATCTGTAGCCTGATACTGAATTCAGTGGTAGTGTGTTTTTTACAATGCATGTGTAGATACTCGGTTCCCAAATTTTAGGTCTTGACCCATGTTTCTTTTCTGAGTTTCTTTTGAGTTGAGCAATGGAAAGACGCTATGATCGCATTGCTTTATAAAGGTTTTCTTTCTAATAGAGCTTCTATTTAGCCAACACTGTGAAAGGTGTTCTTTCCACTGTACATGTATGTGCTGAAGAACACATCTGCTCCTCCTGTAATTTTTTCAGTAGCTCCTCCTGTAATTTCTTGTCTGAGATGAAAAGGATCCACCCCCAAGTCCTGGACTGACAGTCGTGCTCCTGAAGGAGAAATTACCCTTTTAAGAGATCCCTAAGAGCTGTAGCCAACCACAGCATACTGTAGAAGTTACACTTTTTGTACATTGCATCCTTGCCAATATTTGAATACAAGCCATAATTCAGTGGAAGCATAAATAACTTCCATTCAGAGAGATGGATGTTGTGGTATCAGGCCAAATGGTAAGCCTTGTCAGTGCCTGCATTTTCACTTTATCGACCACACAGCA